CCTTCCCTCGCTCCACTTTCAGAATCGTCGAGCCTCGCCATCGGCACCACGAACTGCAGATCAACTGCCCCCACGCGCTGCTGCTGCTGAGTCCCTACATGAGACGTGGAAAACATCGACACTTGAAGAAACCCTGAAGAAAGGTAAGCATTTTGACTACCAAGATACTGATTCCTTATGGACTGGCCAGCAGGACTAAAGCAGGCCGGCCAGCGGATAAGGGAAGGAGGGACTATGTAGAAAGGTTTGCAAAAGGTTGAAGTGATTGCAATTGAGTAGATTAGCACGGCGATATGGGTTAGGAGAATGCGATGAGGTGTGGTTGATTGAGGGTGGTTGACCGGTTTGGATGGAGTAAGTTGGCGATCTGGCTAGTGTTTCTGTTTTTTAAACATTGCTTGACAAAGCACCAATTCACGCCAGGGCATTTGCGCAGTTCGCTCAGCGTTTTTTTTTGTATTTTTGCCTTATTAGGTCTGAGCTAGCTTGCCTCTGAGTGATCGAGGCTAGTAGTGCCCTAGCGTGTGACCAACCTAGCCATTGACTGACCAAACCTGCACATGTCGGACTAAACTTTTGAACATGTCTCGTGGTTTCCTCAACTTGTGACTGCCGAAGCTCGTAACTGATCGGTTATCTTAGTGACCTTGCCTCTGACTGACCTAGCTTGTGTGACTGACATTGACTGTGTCTGACCTAGCCCTTGACTGTCCGAGGTTCCAACGTACCTAGTCTATAGTCACTTACCATGTGGCCTACCTAGCCCCTAACTGACCCAACCTGTGACTTACCTAGCCTGTAGTTGTCGTAGACTGTGACTAGCCTAGCGTGTGCATGACTTGCCTGTGAGTCACAGGCTGTGACGACCACCTTGGGTGTGAGCTTGCCTGTAATTTACAGAGTTGCCACCTCCTGTCAAAGAGTGACGTAGCCTACAGTTTAACTTGCATGTGACTGTCCTAGGTTTGACTGCGTTGACTGTCCTAGGTTTGACTGCGTTGACTGTCCTAGGTTTGACTGCGTTGACTGTCCTAGGTTTGACTGACGTATCTACCTGTGTGTGGATTCGACTGTGACTGACTGGTCTGGTTTGTGACTTACCTAGCCTGTGAGTGAGTGACGTAGCCTGTGGTTGTCTAGCCTCATATTAACGTAGCCTTCTTGTGACCCGGCCACCAAGGTTCTTGCTTGAGTGAGAATTGCCATACATAGCATGTGATGTGACTGACCTGGCATGTGACCTACCTTTCTTCCAAATTTTGTTGTGAAAGGAGCCTCTCTGACCCTGCATCGGCTCTGACTGATCTAGCTTGTGAGGGAGCTAGCCTTGGCCTAGCTTCTAACAGGAATATCCAATGAGTAGCATAATCTCAGCTGACTTCAATTGTGACTGACCTAGTCTATACTGCCCTAGCCTGTGAATGGCCCAGCATGTAACCGGCCTGGCATGTGAGTGACCAGGGTTGTAACCGGCCTGGCATGTGAGTGACCAGGGTTGTAACCGGCCTGGCATGTGAGTGACCAGGGTTGTAACCGGCCTGGCATGTGAGTGACCAGGGTTGTAACCGGCCTCGCATGTCAGTGACCAGGGTTGTAACCGGCCTCGCATGTCAGTGACCAGGGTTGTTATCGACCTAGCATGTGTGTGACCAGCTGACCTAGCATGTGAGTGACCAGGGCTATAACCGACGTAGCCTATGTTTGACCTAGCTTGTGACTTGCCTAGCTTGTGAGGTCCTAATTCTGCGAGTGACCTACTTCTGACTGGCCTAGCCTCTGACCTGACCACCCCATCCATAACGATCCCGTCTACTCTCCTTACCACCAACGTCCCCTCCCGACCACTTTGACTCTCTCATTCCATAAGTGCTGTGCTCACCATGTGCTGTGCTCTATGCGTGAACAATTGGCAAGTGGAACCTGGCTCACCGCTACCTGCTTCAGCTCTTTCTGTGTGGCCTGCACCCATTCTCCTCCTTTTTCAAGTGTGTGTGTCACAGTTTGTGTACCTCCATGTATTCACCCTCAACCGATTTCGACACACCAGAGTTGGGCATTCCGCAGAGGGCGGGAGGAGGCTGAAATTAAGCTGCAGTTACGGCTGCAGAGAACGAGTCAAGTGTGATAAGTGAGGCAGTAATCGGACTGTTTGGATTAGTGAAAGGGGAATTGGCAGCATTGAGGGGGGAGCTGGTAATGGTCAGGGAGGAGGTGGCTCGACAGAAGGAGCGAGTGTTGATGCTGGATGAGAGAAACCGAGATTTGGAAAATGAGTTGAGGCGTGCACTGGTTGTTGTTGGCGAGAGGAGTGTGGCGACTGCTGCTGTGGTGGAGGAGAGGGGGAGAGAGGTGGCAGCAGTGAAGGGGGATCTAATTCGGATCAGTGCAGAGTTGGCAGTAGTGAATGGGAATCTGACTGTGACGACGGGGGGGGGGTGAATGCGGTGAAGGGGGAGGTAAATGTGGTGAAGGGGGAGTTGGCTGAGCACAAGCAGTTAACTGCATTGCAGCCGGAGGAGGCTGAGAGGAGACGAGTGGCGGAGATGAGGGAGATGAGAGGGCAGGTGGAGGAGAGGGAGAGGGAGCTGGCTGCAGTGAAGGCGGAGTTGGCTGAACTGAAGGATGCTCGCTTGCAGATTGATATTGACCTGAAAATCAGCCAGAGTGAAGGTGATCAGAAGATGGCATGGCAGGTGAGTGCTGAGTGAACTGTTTCACAGGGCTTGCGCTGTTTGCTATTGTCTCGATGGTAATTTCTTTTCGTGTTTGGTATTCATGCCCTCTTCATCCCTCCAGCGAATCAAGTCAGCATCACGAGGAACCGATCTGAGACTGGCGAATCTCCACAGCCTCTCAGACGCCATGCTTGCTCATGTGTCCACAATGACCCACCTGAAGAGCATTGACTGTACCGCTGCCTCGGGCTTCAGTGCAGAGGGCATCAAGCACCTCTACAGGCTGACAGGGTTGGAGAAGCTTGACTTGGATGGCACAGTCACTTCAGACAGTGCCTTGAAAGGCATTGGGTCCTTGACCAGTCTCAAAACCCTCTTTCTCCATCGGACCAAGGTGACCGATGCTGGCCTGCCACACGTGACAGCACTGTCCTCTCTCGAATCGCTCTCTCTTTTTGGACGCAAGGGTGTGACGGACGCCGGAATGGTGCATTTGGGGAAGCTGACAGGGCTTGAGAAACTTTGGCTAGGTGGCACGGCGGTCACGGGTGATGGACTGCAGCAGCTGACTGCCCTGACCAAGCTGGCACATCTGTATCCGCCAGAAGGGGGTACACTTATGAACGATGATATACGCAGGCGGATAGGTTGGTAAGGTGGTAGGGAGTGATGAAGGGTGCAGGGCGATCTGGACTGAAGCTCCAGGGAACAGAGCTGAGGAAAGGGTTGACCGTGACTATCTAGGGTTATCGAGGAGAATGAGGATATATTTGGGGGACTGATGCGTGGAATGGTGGTTGCATAGATTTGGATAACAGAGGTGACCTGGTGCCTTGCAGCTGAACTGAAGCAGGTGCAGGGATGTTTTGAGATTGGATAACGTTTGCGATCGGTGCCTTGCTTGTAGTTGGACTGAAGCAGGTGCAGGGCTGGCACCAAGCTCTGTTCATGCGGGGAGGCTGCATGAGCCATGCCTGCCTGGCCTTGGGTGCAGCTGGCTGTACAGATGCTCGTCTTTTAGGGGAGCGGCATGAGTGGGAAAACATGAACTGAGGACGTGTACGCAGTTTGTGGAGTACAGCCTATGATATGCCTTCAGAACATTAAGCATAGTTGATCATCCCGTTTTCTGTGAAGCATAGTTCCTTCCCTACGTCTCTTATCGGGCAAACCCCTTATAAGACTCGCATCGCATCACACTGAAATTCCCTTGTACTGTATCCCCATACCCTTTGCGCACTGTATCAGGCAAGCCTGCCAAGAAATTTGCCGATAAGAGGCGTAGAAACATGCCCTCAGTTGACACTAAGGGAGACTAGGAAATTGATCATGGTTCTTAATATGGTAAGCTCCAGAAATAAACATCAATCCTTGACTTGTTAACAACTTAACACACATAAATGCTTTAATGCTTAAAACCACCATATAGCCAGTCTACATGAGTGGCTGGCAGCACAATGTAGACATTATGTAACTATACTGCTGGCTTGGGTTGGGTAGGTAGCTAGCATGGGACGGAGGGCGTAAGGAGGAAGAAGTGGGTCTCTCTGTGTGTGGATGGGAAAACGGCAGATGTTATGCATGCTGCTGTGCACTTGATCTCCAACCCAACCACCCCTGCTTGCAATGTCCGTAGACTGATTGTCATGGTACCCCCACTTCTCATCACACCACCTCCCCCAGCAGCACCTGCACCACCTTCCCCAGCAGGCACCTGCACCACCTCCCCCAGCAGCACATGCGGTGAATGACAGCAGGTTGCAAGACAGTGAGAGGGTCTGGAAGGATTGGAGTGGAGTGGCATGCGTTTGATCAAGACTTGGACCTCGCTTGAAATTATATTTCTGTGCGCTGACATGGTGCAAACAGCTCTTACATATATTACTGCAATGCATTGATACAGTTTCAGAAAACTGGTACCAAGTTGGAATCTAAGATCTGCACCAGACAGAGTGAAAGGCATGAGGGGAGGGGCGAGATAAGTGAAGGGCAGGTATGAGAAGTGCATTGATTTGAAAGTTGGGAATAAGAAATGTGATGACGTGTGCTTGCACCGGTGTCGTAACACAATCCTCTTTACTAAAAATCACAGGCATGGCTGCTCACCATTAAGCATCGTAGTGCACTCAGGTTGGTCCAACGTATGCACAGTGGGTCAGCAGTAGATGGGGTTTGTTCGAGTCAGTAACAAAGCGAGGAGACTGACAAAAGCAGCTGAGGATGAGAGCAGGGGAAGGGAAGGTAGCGTTGGGGGGAAACGGAGGGAAAAAACGGATTGAAGAAAGTGGTCGTGGGAGGGAGAGGTGGTGCCTGAGGTTGCGATGGCTACGGTGCGGCTGCTGGCTGGGATGGTGGGGAGCAGATGGGAGGACCTGAGGTGGGGATGGACAGGCTGTTTATGCACAGGTTGAAAGGCAAGAAGGCGAAGTGAGATGCGAGCAGGTGTGTGCAGTGGGAGGCATGGCACGATTGAGTTGCTGACACCTGGAGTGCAAGGGAGGATGAGCGCAGGTGTTGGAGAAGCTGAATGGAGTGAGTGGGGATCTTGGAGACGGGGGAGGGAGAGACGAAGGGAAAGAGAAAAGAGGCAGGGAGAAATTGGTTAAAAGGATTGGGTATGGAATGTAGGAACATAGGGAAGGGAGGAGGACGGAGGGACGTAGGACAGATTGAGGAAATGGAGGAAGAAAAAGGAGGGGGTGGGGAGCTGACAAAAATCATGCAACACCTGCATGGTCAACTCTTTGTGCCACTTCACCTTTGCACGTTACATCCATCTCTTTTTCAACTCCTTGCGTCTCCAGCAACAAGAAAACAGAAAGTAGAACTCGGGTCAAACCAAACCGCAATAACCAGCAGCACGGCCCGATTCAGGCCACCCCCTTAAAATATTCCCAGGGACCCATGTGACCTGAGCCGTGCAGGTCCGTTTCAGGGCCAGTAGTAAGGTCGTTTTGGAGCCCCAACTTAAGATTACCAGTTGTTCCCTTCCCACGCCCCTTCTTCTCTATCAGTCTTTCAACAGCATAGTGGGGTCCGGCCGGACTCCAACTGGGCCGATGGCCCAATTACAGTTTAGTTCGGGCCGGTTTGGGCCCTGTCCGGTTTGATAAAAAACTGACCTGGTTGGCCAGTTTGAATTGGAATTTGAGCCATCAATGCTCGTGCAGTAAAATTTTAGGACGAGAGGTTGCTTAGCAGGCTGTTGGGTCAAGGAACGAAAAGAGAGTTAAGAGTGGAAGGAGGATTTCAAGGGGAGAAGGGAGATGGCAAGCAAGTAGAGGTGTGGGAGGAAGAGAGGGGTGTTGGAAGAGGAGACGAGGGGCTGTATATAGAAAAATAGTGATATGATGAAACTTGATTATAAACGAATGGTTACGATTGCAAGGTGAGAGGGGACGAGACATTGGGGACATGGGTGAATAATTCGGTATCGCAGTGAAGCAATCCGATGGATACAATGATGGTGACGGGGACACATGGCACATGATGATGGTGCAGGTGATGCGAATTGTGCAGAAGAGCCAAGTGCTGGAATTGACGGACGCTAGAAAGAAGAAGAGATCCTTATAGCAAGCAAACACATGCTGGTTACGCAACCTACGAAGTGTAGCATGTCTCGACACACAAACCAAAGAGGAGCCTCCAAGGCTGCGGTGGAGGCATGAGCAAGGGCCATACCGGCTCGTCCCGAGCAGCACCGCGCCTAGCTGGCAGGTGGGCCGGCTTGTGGCTGGTCAGATGGAGGCGAGCCATACTGGCTGACACGCCTGCCCCTGCCACCGCCTCCTCTCCTCCTTCACCTCCCTCTGTCTACCTCCTCGTCTCTCTTCCTCCTCCTCCCTTCTTCCTCCACCTTGCCACTGCTTCCCCTTCTGGTCTTGTCCCCCTTGCCGCATCCTGCCCAACCGCCTACTCCTCGCACGACCCTCGTCTCCATCGCCTCCCCGTTTCGTCCCCCCTTTCTGGAAGCGAGTTCTCATCAACTGCGGCTTTTCATCTCCATATCTCCGCCTCCCCTGCTCTCACGGCCACAACAGGGCGAGCGTGGGAAGGGGAACGAAGTGGGGGGTAGGAAGGGGAACGAAGTGGGGGGTAGGAAGGGGAACGAAGTGGGGGGTAGGAAGGGGAACGAAGTGGGGGGTAGGAAGGGGAACGAAGTGGGGGGTAGGAAGGGGAACGAAGTGGGGGGTAGGAAGGGGAACGAAGTGGGGGGTAGGAAGGGGAACGAAGTGGGGGGTAGGAAGGGGAACGAAGTGGGGGGTAGGAAGTGGGGGGGAGAAAGGGGAGACGGGGGAGAGGGCTGAGATGCTGTGAGCTGAGATGTCATGCGTTTCCGACCTACTGGGTGCAGCAATGCATCCTCTCACGGAAAATGCAGGATAGAGAGCCAGTGCTGGATTGAGATGCATGGGAAAAAACTGCTCGGACTCATTCTGCCCCCTCAGCAAACTAACGCCAGAAGAAACGCCATACCTGTTACAAAAAGGCGATGCTGCCCAGCAGCAGCAATGGAGGAAACATGATAAAATCAGAAGCTCTTCAGATTCCTTCCTCCACCATTTGGGCTGGGCAGGCAATGATGCTGCCGCATCGCATCCGACTCGGATTCAGTGCTGTCATGAGGCGCACCACCATTGCCGCACTGTCACGGTTCACTGAGACGGGGCGCGCCCCTTCCACATCTTGCCACGTGGCAGCAGCGTGTCCACCCAGGGTGACAATTTCAGTGCTAGCTCTGAAAATCTGGTCGCACGCACAAACAGTGGCACGAAGAGATGGCTTCGCCATCACGCAACTCGCCTTGCTGTCTTCTAACCTCGCAAGCACATGTGGCGCTTAACCTTGCTAGGAGTAGGGTGAGAGAACTTCAGACGAGAAGGGGAGAGGTGGACGACAGCTGAAGTATTGTTTATGGGGAAATAGCGCTCAGATCTATTCTGCATGTCAGCAACAAAGCGCTAAGAAATGCCATAGTACTGAGCGCGGACATGTGAATGGCAGCGGGGCGCCGCAGATTCTGCCAACGCGGAGCTGGGAGGAGCTGAGTGAGAAAATTGTCCTTCTCTTTGCGCCCCACCATGCATTCCTCACGGGATATGGGGGGGTGAGAAGTCACTATGGGAATGAGACGCATGAAAGACAACGCTCAGGTTAATTCTGCCTTTCTCAGCAAACATGGCGCGGAAAACACCATTTCAGGCGCGAGCAGGGACGGAGCAAAGGGAGGGAGGCATTCTTAGCAGCAGCAAATCGAAGGAAGAAGTGAGCGAGAAGCATATCCGCCGGATCAGGTCCCTCCACTGTGGTAGGGCATCGCGACGGTCCCCTTGCATCCGATTTGGCCTCTCACCTCCGCGATGCCAACCCCGACTCACCTTCACATCCCTCATCGCAAAGTCGCTCGCATTCCGCCTGCTGCCTGCTGTCACAGTGCAGCGGTGCGTCTAACGACCGCGAATGCGGCGGGTGCGGTAATTTCAGCGCGGAGAGACAGCAGTGGGACTGCGGTCGCACGCGAAGGCAGTGGCACGACGAGATGGCTTAAAGTTCACGCTCCTCGCCTTGGTGGGCCGTTCAAGCTCGAAATGTCTACGTGGCACAACCCTAATGGTAGGAGGTTCATGGTCGAATGCGGCCGTGACGATCGAGGTAATGCGAACGACATCAATCCCGATATTGTTGAGAATAATCGTACCGTTTGATCCATGCGAATTCACCTCAAATATCCGAGCATACCACGCGCGACGCGACTCGATAACATACCGACTCCATGAGTGCTTTCAATCTTTCCCTAATGGAAGCAACGGGAGGAAATGACGAACCGCCGTGCTTTCTTTTCTTCAATTCCAACGGGCAGTGGTTTTTACAGGCCTCCTGCCACGCGATCGCGCCCGATTCCCGCGGTCAGTTTTCGCCATCAATACTCATTTTGTAGGTTTTTACGAGATTTTCGATGAGGGACGGTTTCTGCCCCAGGCGAGAAATACATCTGACTTCCCTGAATAATCATTATGCCACCCAGGACTCACGTTCTTAACAGTGCAAACAATCATTTCGCGCTGATATTTTCCCTCAACCGTGGAAACAAAGTACTAGACGTTGACGGGCGCGCAGTTTTCCCGCCACTAACGTGATCTGTGTGGCCTGTAACAAGCACGCGGATGGCCCGTCTAACAGCTCGAGCGGCTCAGATTGCAGATTTTTTGCGCGCGTACAGTTTCTATGGACAGAATTTCCACTCCCGCCCGTTGAGGTCTGACGACTGGCTTGTGAAGCAGTGCTGGAGGTCCACATCGCAGCGATTCGTTCGCACAGAATTTGTCGCGTATGAAATTACATTTGCTCGAAAATAACGAGGCTTTCATGGTTGTTCAGTCATCTACTCACGGTTTTGTAATGGTCGTTTTCAATGCACTGGCCCATTTGGTGGCCCTTTCTAAGTGGTCTAGTCTACACGTAAGTACCAAGCTCAGCCATTACTTGCGCCACAGTCGTTTTACTCCTCAATAGCTGCCATGTCGGAACCCAGGGAACGCGCCGAGCGGATTGCGAATAACATTCTAGAGGCAATGAGGAACGTTCCCCCCGTACCCGGTGGCCGACCAAAAGCTCCTAAGGATAATGCCCCATTGAGGCAAGGTGGTGTCTACTCCTCGAGGGATAAGGCCCTCAAGGCTGTGCAGGCCCACGCGTTGCATCACCGTTTTGGCTTCGCGAATGTGGAAGTGGCGGACGCGCACGTCATTCTGCAATGCAAAACGGCCATGTATGGAGATACGCCAATTTGCCCTTGGGAGTGTAGTTACAGCAGGGTTGTTCATGGCGGGTTCTGGATGGTGACATCCCTCTCCCCTCCTGAAGCACACGTCTGCAAGAAGTACAAGCGAGAGCAGGGAGCAAACTCCATCGCCAACAGCGTGAAGGTCATGAAGCGGCTTTGGGGCAACCTTGTTCGCGGCGCACCGTTTATTTCGGCGAAAATTCTGCAGGAGATTCTCACGTCCCACAGCAAGTTCCAGATCAGTTACAAGCAGGCATGGCGGCTGCGTGAAGCAATCCAAAAGGAGATGTACGGGGATTGGCAAGAGTCGTTCACGTTGCTCCCCGCGTTGGCTGAAAGGTTCTGCGAGATAGACCTGGATGGAAACTTCTTGATTCAGACGGTCGACGGTTGTTTCAACCGAATGTACATACAGCCGTCCGCTTCTCGCGGTGCGCTTGGTTTTTGCCGGCCAGTTGTTGCAATGGACGGCACGTTCCTCATCAGTGCTCAGCGCGCAACCCTTCTGATTGCCGTGGTACTGGACGGCAACCAGAAGATTACAATGCTGGCGTGGGCTTTGGTCGAAGGAGAAAACAAAGATTCGTGGAGTTGGTTTCTGAGGAACTTTTTGAAGAGCTTCCCGGACTGGCCGCACCGTGACGACGCCTCCATCATCAGCGACCGCGACAAGGGTTTGATTCCGGCTGCGCAAGATGTTCTCCCGCTTGGCATACCCCATTACTTCTGTGCATGGCATCTTCATCAGAATCTTGTCAAGTTCGGAGAAGCAGCTGCTCTGTTCTATTGGCGTCTTGTGAAGTGCAGGCTTGAGGACAAGTGGGACGCTTTGGTGGCGGCCTGTCGGCGTGACTTTGCACCTATGGCTAATTATCTCCTTGGCATTGAAAAGCCGATCTCGGGCCCATCAGCTGCAGATGCAAGTGAGCAGCAACGTCCTGCACCCACAACAGCAGCTGAGGCACGTCAACAAGCAGCCGAGAATCGTCGCCAGGGTCGTGAAGCAGCACGTGCCGCCATGGGTCGCGGCACTACTTCACGTGCGCATGGGCGTGGTGCAGGAGACACCAGCGCGGCGGGAGCCACACCGTCCGGACCAGAGCCTGCACCGACTGAAAGCACCGCTGACCCTATGGCTCAGCCGGCCGAGTCCCCTGCAACTAACTCGCCGCCAGCTCGTCCGTCTGGGTCGGCGCCTGCAACTGCACGACCTTTCAATTATGCACGCATCCTGCGACGTGTAAGGACAGGTTACATCGCCAGCTCCACCCGTACGGACCTGCCACGTGCAACTGGATCGAACGGAAACTCGGATGAGGATGGAGAGCAACCCAACGGGGGAAACACCTGCCAGGCATTGGTCCTGGTTTCTTTGGATCACCCGTGGCCAGATGTCGGCACTGCTAACCCCGGGGTTAACACAGGGGCCGATTCTGACGAGGACGATGAGGAGGATGCAGATGCAGAGGAGGCAGATGCAGAGGGTGCGGATGCGCCTGCCAGGGCAGAGGGGGTGCAGGCAGACGCCGGCGTGGACGACGATGACAACACTCCAGAGTCAACTGGCGCGGATGAAGACCACACCACACGCGCGCGGACCGGGTTTAGGCAGAACAAGCGTGGAACAAGGAAGAAGTTGGGCATCAACCTTGTTCACTGGACTCGCCTTAAGGCCCCTACTCGACGCTTCGGGATATTCACCAGCAACGCAGCTGAGCAGGTCAACAGCTCCATCGTGCCCATTCGGCGCTTGCCGGTGACCCCGCTGCTAGGGGGTCTCTGGGACTGGTATCGCAATAGGTATTGTGAACGTAAGATGGAGGCGCGCGAGCGAACAGATCTCCTGACAGAGGCAGCCGAGGAGCGGATGGTGGAGAAGGAGACACGGGCGGAGGGGTACGAGCTGCTAGGCGGGGACCATGAAGAAGGAACCATCCAGACCAGGGACACCGATGATCCCAAAGAATGGAGGTCCTTCAACGTCAACTTGGCGGCGAAGACATGCGACTGCAGTAACTGGGACCAGTACCAGTTTCCGTGCTCCCATGCTGTGGCCTTTGCCGTGAAGCGGAAGCTAGAGCCCCGCACTTTCGTCTCTGATTTCTACACCACGAAGAATTGGGCAGAGACCTACTCTTCAACGGTGCGGGGGTCCTGTGTGGACCGCATCATCCTTGAGAACCGGCTGGCCAGCCCAGGCCAGTGCGATGCTCCGCCCTTTCGCCGCACCGCTGCCGGCCGCCCCCCGAGCTACGCTCGCATAGAGAAGGCCGTGCATCCATACAAGTGCAGCGTTTGCAAGATGGTTGGTCACAACAAGAACCGCTGCATGGGGAAGTACGGTGGCAGCTCTGTTCCAGAGAAGAGGAGGTACCGTAAGCGCCCAAAGTCGCGAAAGCCCTATCGGGAGGCTGCACCTGGCGCGGGCACCATTTGAACATTCCAGGGTTGATATAGCTTGAGTAGCTTCTCACGGAGTTAGAGAAATCTTTGTAGTGTGGGTGTTCTCACGCCACTTTGGCTAGTGCAGAATATGTAATGTTGGTATATTGGGTTCATAGGTTTATCTTTGTATTAGGAATATTGATATTCACAATATTATCCAGTAGAGTGCAGAGTGAGGCTGAC